GGGCAGTTGGTTATGCCAGGGTCTCTGCTGTTAGTGATCACACACACCCAGACTGTCCAGCTAATTTGGACGGTTCGTCAATTGCTACAGCAAGTGGGAGGGAGCATGGTGAGCTGTGCACTGGCCCTCACAGCTTCCACCCCGAAATGGCACATGTCACTGCCAGGGGCAGGTCACTGGCTAGCACATCACATTTCAGTGTCCAGCTTCATAAAAGGAAGGGAGGTCAGCCTACCTGGTGCCTGAATAAAAAAGGAGAGCACATGCCCACAGTCAAACATCCTGCAACCCTCACCTGACCCACATGGTGCGGCAGACCTCTCCTGACCCGCCCGCTGCTCCCTCAGCAGTGTACTTCATCAATCTGCCTGTTCTGCTCCCCACTCTGTCTCTGGTGAATCCTCTCATCACCACCACCCCCTGCACAGGCCTGTATCCCGGTTCTTGAATGCACAAATAAATAAAAAGAAAAAAACAAAAGTGAGTTATAAATATGTCCTAGGAAGTTAGGTCATTAGAGGTGAATGGAGGACAGAGCATAGCTGGAAAAATCTATGGGCTAAACAATAACAAAGTGTCTCTGGGAATGTCCTGTAGTAATCTCCTGAGAGGAGATGACCTGCAGGTTCCAGTCCCCTGCCAGGGAAATCAGAGTTAAACACAAGATTCAACTTATATTTTAAAAATAAAAACCACTGGTTCTAGTCCAAGCACTTCATTTTACAAGTGGAGAGCGTGAGGCTGCAGGAAATGAGCAGACCTTCCCTGAGGGAGGTTGCAGCGGCACTGGGCTGAGCCCACATTCCACTTACTAGCCAGTTACTAGCTGTGTCACCGAGGAAAGACTCTTAACTCCTTTGAATCTCTTCCCTCATTTGTAAAATGAGCATAAAAGTGTCCGTCCTGTCAAATGTAACTAGAAAGTAAATATTGAGGAAGGATCGATTCCACAGGAATGAAACTTCAGATGAGAATACTAATGAAAATCATTTTTCATGTATTAAATTAGAAATTAAAAAATCATATTTCCTAATTCTGACAAGCAGATGGAGAATTGGTACAAATGAACCAATATATATGCTGTTTGCACAACCTTTGGAAAAATAATGATAAAAATAAAAAGTTCTGAGAAATGTTCATAACTCATATCTTTATAGTCCCAATTCCAGGAATTCAGTCTTGGGGAGAAAAATCTTACGTGCTAAAAATGATGTGTCCTAGCATGTTCCTCTCAATATTTAGAATGACAGAAAAATTGAAGATATAGAAAAAACTATAACTCAATTATAGTTAAAACTATCGAGTATAGAAAAGCACGGACAATTGGTTGCATTACAATATTAGGTGGGGAAATCAAGATCCAAATTGATTAGTAATAATATAATAAGACAAGAGATTCCTTTTGAAAGACAAATGGAAATATGCAATTTTGCTTTATTTTCCCTCTTTCCTCTATTTTATAATTTTTGCTGATATGCAATTACATTATTTTCATAATGAAAAGTGTATATAATAAAATAGTCCCTGTATTTACTGGCAGGGATAAATTACATAATTGGTGTGCAAGTACATTGTCCTCCTTAAAATGTGGTCTGTGGGTAGCAGATGATGATCAGTGTTACATTATGTTTGAGTCCAACCCACTTGCTTTCAGTCGAATAGTGCTGTCTCATTCCCTTTTCTGGGAATTAAAATAAAGGCATAAGAGGGCAGGTTCTCACTCACTTCCACATTTAATTAAGCTTTTAAGATACATTCCTCTCCTTGGTTTGATTAACTGCAATTCACTGGAGGCTCATCCTTCTAGCGAACAAAATATAGGAGATAATTCTTTGTGGCTACAGTGTGTATGATTAAAAGGATTTGCGTAAGTGACCTATGCATTCGCAGCCCCCAAACAGAAGCTCCTCCAAGCATTTCCCAGTCAGGGCCAACCTATAAATCAATGCTTGGCAATCACTTCCTCCGGTTCAGAACAAGTCAAAATGACCTGTTCTGGCTCAGAATGACCCTCTCAGGGGAGTAAGTAGGTGATGGGTGGATCATGCTCCTTGGCACCTACTAGGTGCCAGCATGGGGTGCATGGTGAACTATCCGACATGAGTCACTCTGGGTTTCTCAGCCCAGAGCGAGCTTGCTTCTCTGGCTCCCTTATCCATGACCCCCCACCCCCACCCCTGGCTTCTTTTTTGCCTTCAATCATCTGAATAACTTTATGTCTATTAAACAATTGTCCAAGTACTTAGGTTTTATCATAGGAGCTGGTAAGCACAGGAACAGCCAGTGCCTGTAAGGGTGGAAGGGTGGAATTTGTCCTGCTCAGGAAAGAGCAGGAGAACTAAGTGAAGCTGTTCAAGAGATTGGACTGAATATGAAACAGAGGCAATAAACCTCCTGGAACTTTTTTCCTTAAATGAAACGCACATGTGAGCTTGCATTTGATGCTAAGAGCAGACTGGCCAGTGGCATCCACAAACAGGATGGTCAGCACACACTGAAAAAGTGTCCAGGACAAGGCCCTGTGATCAGAGCTACCTTTAGTTATTCGGAAACTTACCATTTTCCTCCTGACCCTCTTTCTGCATCCAAAGAGCTTACAGACTCTCTGAAGCGCTCACCCTCACCGCCTTCCTAGTATCCTGTTTTGAAAAGCAAAGCAAGCTCCCCAGACCCAGCCTCGCTCTAGGGATCCCAGTTAAACTTCCGGTTTGTAGGCAGGGGCCTGGGTCAGAGACATTAGGTCACCTGGATCGTAGTGGCAGAGCCAAATGACAGCTGCTAGATCCCCAGCTACTCCTGCAACAACTCGGACTCAGGTTGGGGTGGCAATGCCCTGGGCGTGATGCTTGGCCGCTTGTCACGGGTTTAGCTATAGGCTTGACAGCTGCTTTAAATTAACATTTTTTGGGGGGTTGAATGTTCTTACTATTAAAAATCTGTTTTTTACATTTAAAAGTGAGTTAAAATTTTGAAGTTTAAAAATAAATGTTTTGAGTTAGATTATAATAGATGCAATACAGGAGATGTTCCAAAATATCGACAGTTTCTGTTTAATTTATATCATAGGCTTAAAAAAATTATGACTGTGAAATTAAATTGTCTAGGAAATCAATATAGTATCATCCATTGGCCTGAAAAAACCTGGTCATATAAACCACATATGGCTAAATGTGTAGATTACTGGGTTTTTATGGTACAATTCCTTCTTGAAGGAAGACACTTGTGTTTAATACATAGGATCTGAATTAGCTATAGTGAGAAAATACTCAATTTTATTTAACCTGCCATTTCATCACGGTTGAAACTCAACTCTGCCTCCCATTGCCCACAGAGCCCCCAAGGCCATCATTACTCAACTAAATATGCTTTAAACAATACAGCATTTGTTATCCTAACAAGAAAGTGAAAATTAGGTTAGTTACAGGATTTAATTTGTGATGACTTCAAAGACACAGGGATTCACATTTTTCTGGTGTGCCACATGAAGCATACTGTGTTAGTCCATAGACTTCCCCTCTCATGGACATGAGATGGTTGCTGATGTCTCAGCCATCACACCAATACACAAACTTTCCAGGTGCAAAAAAAAAAAGATCATTTAAAATATACCTCTATCAGGAAAGAAATTTTCTTTAGAAGCAATCTAACAGATCTTATTAATCAGCTGGTCCCTCATTTATTTATTTAGGGATGGACATATGACCTAGTTCTGACCAAACATTGGAAAGTAAATGAAATAATTATGACTGGCAGGTACCAGTTAATATTCACTTCTGTAGCTATAGATTCATTTACCCCTTTCTTAAATGAAATTTTTGTTCAACAGCTAAATAAGTTCATAATGTTGTGAAAAAAGAAATGAAAGTGACATGGCCCTTGGGAGATAACCCTCAGCATCTGCCACAACCTGTCCCTTTTCTCTAGGGGTGAAGGATGCATGCAACAGAAGTTGGGGTATCCCAAATATCTTCTTCATTAAATACTAAAAACATCTCCTCAAAAAGACTATTTGTTTTATCTAGGTCTCTGGTGTGAACGCCAGGAAGCATCCTTTCATCTGGTATCTCTACAGCATTGTCTCTGCAGATGGTACAAAGGCACGCCTCCCACTGCCCACAGAGCCCCCGAGGCTGTCATTCCATTGCAGACCTGGTGTCAGTTCATGGGCAAAGCAGGTAAGAACTTGGCATGAGGACCCCTTGCCATGAGGAGGAATCTCCTGGAGACTCGTTAATGTGTAGCTCTGGGCATGAGTAAAGAGTAAAGGAAAACCTGCATAGCTTTTCTCATTGTGGAAGCTGCTTGCTGCTTGACTTCCCTGCCTCCCTGAACTCTCTCCCACCCATCTTTACCTGCAGAATGTCCTCACATCCCTCGGATTGCATCTGTGCAGCAGGCTGTCACCTCACCCTGGTCACTGCTAACTTTGAATGATGACTTGGGGGTGGCATCTTGAATCTTTACTGAGCCTAACTGCCACCTGGTTCTGCGAGGGACAGATGACCAGGGACAAATTTTTCTCTTTTTGCCCTTGAGTTGTGAGCCATTTTTAATGTACTCAATCAATGCATATTTCCCTACATATATTTTTACAACTGAGCAATTTCTTTATTGAGGTCTCATTGCAGATGATGGAAATTCCAGTCATTGGTAGCTTTTTCACATCCTGATTGTTGACTCTAGTGTTTTGGGCTTCTGTGGTGTTAAGTGATCAGATCCTTAGTCATTGTCCACTTCTTAGCCTGTTTCCCCTAGACCTGAGTTAAAGACATCTGTGTAGGTCGTTTACTTTGGAGCTGAGCCCTGGGACTAGGTAAAGCAGGGGAGGGATATGGAAAGACCAGTATGTGTGTGTTACTGAGTTAGTCACACTGTGGGGAGTGGATCTCAATCCTACCAGGAGGCTTGGAGAAGAGATAACAACCTCTCAGAGATGTCCAGCTGAGTACCCACCTTTTCTCTGTTGCTTGCTCTCTTCGTTGGTAGAGTGTTCTCTTGTCTTGTGAGTAGGTGGAACTAACTTTGTACTTCAGACTGAGTTCATTTAACCGGGCTCCCACTCGCCCCCACACTCCCGCACCCAGCTTCTGGTAGGCTGAAGAAGCCCTAGTTAACAATAAAGGGAGCAGAAAAGAAAGGCAGCAAAGTATGTGTTTGCATAAGGCACTGTCACTTTCATCAAAACCACGGCATCTATAACGAAATCAGCTGTACTGTCCAGGATGTACGCAGCTGTCAGGCACACAGGGCCTCCTATGACACTTGGCACCTACCTTGGCCTCTGTCACAGGTCCCATGTGTCCTGTGCCAAGTCCTTGCTGCAAGGATGCCCCCCTCCCAGGCTGTTGGATATCACAGTGTTCTGGGCCACAGGGGCTATGGTGTCTTGCTCATTGGTGCTGTACACGGCTGCTGGTGCATTCAGCCTGGAATTCCTAAGCAGGTGTGTTTATTTTTTTAGCATCCTGGGGCCTCTCTGACTCTCCACAGTATCACCCAGTATCACTCTCTCCCAGATCACCCGGGTACTGGAGACCCCCATATTTCCAGCATTTTATTTTTCTATCTGCTTTGATCAGAACATTCAGCAGGGAGGTAATGACAGCTTGGACTTTACTTTCTCAGCTCCCTAGCTCTGAGGGTAGAAAACAGCTTTTTCTGATTGTTATTATTCTGTGCCTTGAGGTTTTGGTGTCTAAACTTTAAGATTCAAAAATGAAGGAGACACCTATTGGTTTCTTTCTAGGGGGATACCTTGAGGAATTAAGTGCAAGAGGCTTAAATCTGGTGACTCCAGGAAGTGCTGTAGAGAAGTGGGGACATCCAAAATATGTGTTACCATGCCAGGGTCCACAGTGAGCAATTAGATTTCCCCTACTGGGAAGATGGAGACAGCACACAACACTCGGGAAGGGTCGGAGCATGTCGCTACCAGCGACCATGAGTTACTTGGAGGGAAGTTTTTTTCCAGAAGTCATTATTTGCCCACAGTCTGGAATTCCCATGGACCCAGATAAAGAATTCCAGATATGGCAGTGGGCATAGGGCCAGGAACCAGACGAGAAGCTCAAGGATGAGAGGTTGGAGCTGAAGCGTGTTCTCCTACTTCCTTGCTCTTTCTCATTCTTCTGCCTCCTTTCCTCTCAGGCAGTTAGCAGGAAATGACCTATTGACTGGAGAGGTGGGGAGGAAAGAGATAAAATGTAAATAACTGGGTTCACTGTCAGTTAGTGTGTGAGAATACCATCTTAGTCATCTTGCTTAGTGGGGAGATGGCATAGCATCCCTGGGTAGCGCTGTGCTGTCACTTGTGTGGTTTTAGCATCAAAGGAAACTTCACAGTGGTCAAGGGATTTGCGGGGCCTGAGGACCAGTGAATGTCAGCAGGATGCGGGCCTGGTTCCCTTGGTGAATGGCTGCGTTACACACTGACCTTGCACATTTATGAAGGTGTTTTGGCCTGTGCTTGAGAGCTGGGGTTAGGTCAGCTGGTGAACTTGGGCAGAGTATACAGCCCTCACAGCCATATTTTCTTCTTCTATGAATAACAAAGTCCCTTCCTCACAGAGTTGTTTTGATGGTCACATGAGATAATGCACTGGATAATGTAGTATATATATCTTGCAGCATCCATCCTACAGTAGATACTTAAATCAGTGCTAGACAAGATAAGAGCTTATTTCTAACCAGTATATATTGATTGTTTATGGCCAGTGTCGTTTCTGATTACATAATTCATACATTGAAAAAATCTAACTTCCAATGTTAAATTACTAGTAGGTGCTGCGTTTGGAAGGTAATTAAATTTTGAAGGTGGAACCCTCAAGAATGGAATTAGTGATGCTGAACGAAGAAGAGTCAGGAAAGCTTGCTTCCCCCTCTGCTGTTTCCACCCTGACCTACAACCTGAAAAATAGTCCTCACCAGAACTGGCCACACAGCTGCCCTGACCACATGCTTCCAGCATCTAGAACTGTAAGAAATAGGTTTCTGTGGCTGATAAGCCACGTAGGTTTTGCTGTTTTGCTATAGAAGCCTGAAGAGCGAAGCATCCAGCCTGGGCACCCTGCAATGCTGCTCCTCTGCTACTACCTGGCTGTGCCTCCCTTTGGCACCTGCACAGGCTCTGTGTCAACTTAACCATGTAGAGGGGACCAGGAAGTGGAGCTGCTGTCTGTCTCTCTCTCTCTGTCTGTCGGCCACCTGTGTATGTGGTCCTCTGTCTCAGCATGAAAAGCCTGCAGAATCCATTCCAGGCTCCAAACTCTTTTCATCAGTGAGAACTGACAGTGATCTCTGGCCTGGGATGGTTGCAAGACAAGTGGCGAGGTCAGCAGGATGCATAGACTGATAGGGAGCCCTCCGAGAGTCTGGGGGAAATGGAGAGGTGGTCAGACACGTGCTTGTAGTGCTCAGTGGCCAGCCTCCTTGCCCAGTGAATACCTCCCCAAGACTGACAAGAGGTAGGTGGATCCTTGAGGCAGTTGGAACAGGCCAGTGCAGAACAGAAGGGACCTTGAACAGATATAGCAGCAGGAGCTGTGGGGTGGGTGTTGCTCACAGCGATGTGAGAGTCTCTGTGGGAGAAGAAAGCCAAGGTCTGGAAGTGGCAGAGGGAGATGCAGGCCCTTCAAGAAGGTGTGAAGGGACTGCAGAGGCATCAGGTTCCTGCTTAGAGAGGAGAGGGAGGCTGGGCCCTTGCTCCTTGTTTGTCTGGTTGTGGCAGAAAGAAGTGCCGTTCCAGAACACCAGGCTCTCCATCTTGAGAGGAGGAGAAGGCGTGCTTCATGCTCCAGGCTTGTCTGGTGGGGACAAAGAAGATGAAGCACCAGCATCCATGGCCCGGGAGGTGACAGAATGCACCACCTATCACCCATACACCCAAGTGGGACTGGTCGGCTTGGGCAAACTGCTCTGTCAGATGCCAGCAGAGCCCTGGGCAGCCTAGCAGCTGCATTGTGGGACCTGGGGGTGGGTGTAATTATCTGCACTGCACAGGAATATAGAAACGGGCTGTAGTGACCTTGCACCCACCACGGAGACAGAAGCTACAGAGCAGCTGGGGGTGTGGCCAGTGTTTTCACACTCTGTTGGATGCTTAATGGCTGCTGTGCGAACAGTATTGGCTGATGTGGGAGCTGTGCAGAAACCATGAGTAAATGACAAATATATGTTGAGCTTGTGCAGGTACTTTGTGACCTTGGGATGTGGCAGGCCATGCAGAACGTAAACATTCATGGCTCTGATAATGGCGTTTTACTGTTGGCACTAGGGATTTGGTATTGCAAAATGTCCCTTTATCCCCATTGGAGGCCCTCATGGCGAGTCTGGCACCCTATGTAAGATGTCAGATCAGTGATGTCACCACAATGGTAGCCAGCGTGGGTGACAGCTGCCTCTCAGGGAATACGGGAGGTTACTGGGCAACTGAAAGGGACTTAGGAGGGCAAGTGAGCCTCTCAAGGTCAGGGAACCTCGCAAAGCCACCTGCGCCCAAGTGCGGATGGATTCACAGAGCAGGCATAGAGCCGCCGAAACAGGTGCACAACCCCACGCATAGGGTTAAGGAGACAGCCGCAAGCAGACCAGCAGTTTATTCCCATTAGAAAACAGGTTGCAGTGAAGATGGCAAAACAAACCCCCGAGGGGTGGAGTGTAAAGAAATGAGTAAATCAGGTTATTTTTCACCTTCCAAAATGTTCTTGTCTGCTATTTCAACACCTAGCAATAGACTAACGGCCTTGCATTTGCAACAATGTATCAGCTGTGTGGCTGAGGGCTCTGGCCAGTGTGAAGCCTGGTGGCTGTTCTGGGCACTCAGTGTTGGGGTCTCTCTGGTCTGTCTCCAGGCATGTGTCTGGTCCCTGTCTCAGCATTAAAGGATGCAAAATCCACCCAAGGCTGCAAATTCTTTTTTCATCTGTGGGAATTGACAGTGAGCCTGCCTGTCCAGGGGTAGCTGGGGGAGACAGACAAGTCTTCAATGGGGATGTAATTTCCCTTTCCTGGAAATGAATGTCTGACTTTCCCTCATGCCAAGTCAATGCCAGATTTCAAAGCTTTTTAGAACAGAGCAGCGGTCTTATTTGGTCTTGTTTGTTGCAGGCCATAAATGTTCTCTTTGTGATGTGGCAGTTAGAACCTCAACACTGTCAATCATATTCATAGGCACACACTGCCAGTGCACCCAAGACACACTCCTGAATTGCTATGCCAGTAAATGAAATTCTACTTGGAGAATAAAATACCTTTTGATAAAAATCTCAAATTTTTTTTTAAAGATTTATTTATTTGTACATACAGAACTGGGGTACAGGCCAGAGGTGCAGGGGCGGTGAGAGGCTTCACCAGAGACAG